TTAGTTGTATGAGTTTTATTTTAATTCTTGAGCACCACCCTGCCAAAAGCCCCATTGAATGTTGCATTTGTCCTGTTGTATTCAAAAAAATTACAACTGCACGCAATGCAAAATGTAAGTTGAGATTGTTCTTGTGTAGCATTAGCCTGTCTTTTATGGTATCTAGACAAAAACAGTAGATACTGTGGGAATAGATAAGTTCCTGATGAGTGTTTTTCATCTGGTGAAGTGCTTCACAATAACCTCATGTGGGAGGTTGCCCCATGTGTTGATGAGGTATGGTTTTTTTTTCTGCTGTTTCATTTGCTTACCAGAGTAGGATAGTCTTTTAGGAACACTGCTTGTATTCTCTGCTGTAAGAAATCAGTCTTTACTTTCTTCCTCCTATTATACAAGGTAATTCATAGGTTGAGAAAGCAAAGTGCAAAAACAGCTGCACAGGCAAAGGCAGATGATAATTTACTTAATTGTCTGTATCTCAGAAATTCTTCTTTATGACCCTTATTTCTACCCAGTCAAGGCTCCTGAGTAATACTTCTGGGTTTTTTTTTTCCCCTTCTTTATAAGCATGTGAAATGAGCAGATATGAGAGTAAAAGTTCAATTCATTTAGAGGAAAAGATAAGAGCCTACAAAGTCATACCCAAGAAAAATGCTTTGAAACATAGCAGGTTCTTTTTTCATGCAGGTGTAACTTACCTAAATATCGTTTCACTACTGCAGTAGACAACTTTGTAGACTGCTCAGGTGAGTTTGTTTCTTAGTGATTAATGTGGCGTATTTTCCTTTTGATTGATTTAAAGTCTTAAGTGGGTCAGTTGTGGGGATAAGTAATTAGCGTGTGAGTCTGATTCAGGATAATCTGCCTGATTATCCTGCAAAGTATGCAAAGTAAGTAGCTTATTTGAGTTTAAAATTTCATCTCAGCAATATGGAACAAACATTTGAAACAGCTAGTTGCACTTTTGTACCTTCATGTCCCCGTTCATTCTCCAAATTGCTGGAAAACATCCTATTCCAAACAGGACACAAAGATCTTAGATTTCTCTTCACAAATACACCTAGGCTTACTGGTTTCTGCACAGTGTATAATGAAACATGGTGCAGCTTGTGTACTTAAAAATTAGATGCCTTAAAGAGATGTAGTTGCGCTTTGAGATTTTGTGAGAGCGTGTATTTGTGAATTTTTACCTGTTAGAGCCCATAGACTCTTTCAGATAGGTAGAATTTCTAAGGGTTTTCTTTAAGTATAGACTTTGTCTTGATAAATGTTAAACAAGTAGTAATGAGCTGGAAGAAAGACTCAGAGGAGCTGCTTACTGAAATTCTATGCGGACCTGCAGAGTGGGAGGGAGGCAAATAAAATAACTGATGCTTTCCATGGTAATGTGGATTCATACCTTTTTAAAGATGCAACTAAATTATCTCTGCCAGCAACAATTTGTTCCTGTAACTGTAATAATATCTCTGAAGAGCAAATATTTTGCTTTTTGAATAGTGAGAATTGAGCCTGGTGTCTGGTAGGTGCAAAATATCAAAGGGGGGAGTCCTTAGTTAAGAGGAGGTTTCTTAATTTCATTATCCTTTCCTTAATGTTTGCTGATAACAAATTAGGCTGAGAGGGTTTACGTAGTGGGTTATGTCTCCGAGAAAAAATTCTTATAAATTTCTGAATCTGAAAATCAGGTTTAGTTTTTCTTTGGAGGAAATGGAAGAATGATTATGGATCTGTAACCTTAGGCAAACTTTGACTGGAGTCTCTTCAAAGTGCCAGTGCTGTAGAGTGAGTTGCTGTAGGGGAGTTAGTTATATTATAAAAAATAAACAAGTATGCTCTAGGTTTGAGATTAAATTACCAATTAAACACTGTTTTAAATACAAACTAGTTCTGGGGTTTTTTGGTCTGCTTGGTTGGTTGGAATTAATGACACCTGAGGCAAAAACCCAAGATATGACAATATGAGGTTTCTGTATTTTCTTTCACTTTTATCTCAATTTTTGTTGTCGTTTTTCCATTCTCTTCAGTTCATATTCACTTTCTTTTCCATGTTTTTAAAGAATAATGTTATTACAAAATTTTGTATATTATTTGAATTCTGCTGTGACTGCTATAGAGTATGAGGTACAACAAAGATAATTTTTTTTTCTTGATAAGGTGAAATTTTTAATGTAAGAAAAAACATCCTTCATGCATCCCTACACTGTTTACTAAACATTATCTGTTTATGATTGCTTTTTTTTTTTTTATATTTGCTGCACAATTTAGCTGGATTACATTACCGTTCTCATATGCTGAACTGGTTGCAGGGTTTGTTCTTGGTTGGACGTATTTTCCGCTACATAGTGCGGTATGGTGGTGGGTTTTTTTTTAATTTTTAAGAAGTGTTACCGTATTTCTAACAGTGTGTGGGGAGAAGTAGTGGTCAGAGAGATAAAATAAATTTACTAAATATGGAGGAACAATGTATAGAAAAGATTTGGAGGTGGTGGTAGGAGTAGAAATAGAACAATAAATTATTTGTAAGGAAGGTGGGAATGTGATGGGTAGAAGAAGTGAGGAAGTCTCCAGAAGAGAGGCAGGCATTCAAAGTAACTTGAAAATAGTTGCAACAAAGGTCTCCGTTAAAAAGCAAATGAAAGAAAAAGGGAGGGAAAGATACAATCCACATGAAGAAATAGTAATTTATATTTTTTATGACTAATACATTTGCTAAATACATAGATTAATTTCACTGCACATCTTCAAACATGTTTTTCGTATGCCTACTGTCACAGTAAATCACTACTGTTGTAAATAATAATTAATAAAAAAAATATTTCTGCCAACCTTAGTCTTATAATCAAATATGTGAAATTAATGCTTTTTATGTGATTTAACTCCGGTAATACTGAAAAAGGTAGTTTATTGGCTATTAAGCTAGTTGTCAAATGTTACAACATAGTGCAGCGGAAAGGGCAGAGAGAAGATTTAGTTTGTGCCCAGTAATTGTTTGTGCAGAGCAGGGAGAGGAGCGTGTGTATCTTGAGGAGAAGCTGGTGCTCAGACTGCTCCTCAGACCCTCAGAAGTGCCCCACGCTTCTGTGGTTACCACTTTGTGAGCCCTTTCCCTGTGCTGCGTGAGTGCTCTGGGTACACAGGACTGCTACCTATTATACCTGTCCGTCTTCTTTCTCATGAGAAAGTTACTTTGAGTTCGGTGGTAACGTAGTTACTTTTTTCTGCCGTAATTCTTACATGTAGGTTTAAAATCAATGGTTGTTGAATATGACTTCAACCATATTGTTTTGCATGATTTTGCTCAGCTACACTTTCATCCTCTTTCATGTCTGACATATGTGTTGTCCTGGTTCGAGCAACACAGGATTAATTTCTCTTTCAGTAATTTTACTTTTCGGTAAGGTCTCTTCTAATGCTAGGGAAAACTGCATTTTTAAAAGACTCTGGTGCCTGAATTTGTGAAAATATTTACTTTATAGCCAGCTATGGTATGTGGATTTCAAGGTCTCAGTGCTTTTCAAGCTTGCCGGGTGTGGGGACGAGGTGGAGTGAGACCTGGGCACTTGACCCAAGCTGGCCAACAGGACTATTTCATACCATGAACGTCACATTCCATATAAATTAGAAAGTTTGCTGAGGAGTCTTTCTCTCCCTTGATGGCTGCCATCCTGAGAACTTCTTGCCCCGGCACCAGACCCCTGAGCCCTTCCCTTCCTCCCAAAGCTGTGGGTGGCACTGGCGGTGTCCGACATTTGCTGTCCACTGCTGGGAGTGCACAGCTTCCCACTGATAGAATTGGCTGAGCATAATCCTCATGTGTTTTATATTGGTATCAGGATCAATATTGGTTCTGAAGTACTACTAAGGTTAATTATCTAGTCTTATTCTATTAAATCTGTTTATATTTCAGCCCTCTGGTTTCCTTGTTTTTTCCTGATTCCCCTTCGTGGGTGGGGAGTGGGTAACAGAATAATTGTCTGAGCAACAATAAATTGTTGTGGGTTCTTTAAACCATAACACATGTGAACCAGATTTAACCGTTTGGAGGCTGAAAACCCTTATGTATGTTATCAGCAGTACTTTAGAATAATCTAAAGGTATATCCTCTTGTTGATAATTTTTTATGTTTCTGGACACGTTTCATTTACCGTGTATATTAAAGCCAAAGCAGTCTCATTTTTGTCCAGATTTTCATCTATTTCTTGCTACAGCTACAGTTTTACTGTTAGGAAAATGTTTTAGATGAACAACACTGATTGAAGGGGAAGAGACTAAACAGTACGTGGAATTAAAACAGATTTGTGAAGAAAAATGCGGAGTTCTAATATGGGTTTAAGGGTGAGGGTGTTTTAATACGAACATCATAAGAATAAAATGCAAATATCTAACACAGAAAGTTGAAGTTGTTTTTTTGGTGGCAGTAATATTTTACCATGTGTGGGTACACTAAACTCGTGTCTGTGTTAAAGCGAGTTGTACTATTTTCCTTGAGCTACAGATTCAGTTAGACTTAATTCCCTTTTTACAACAATTTTGTGTCATAATCTTTTTGGTTGCCTCACTTAATATTTATTTGTCATTATCTTCACGAATTCTGAAGAATTTTGAACTCTACTTTTTGGCTTGATTTTTGGTGTGCTAAAAGTGCAAGTGGAACAGTATTCTAATGTATTCTTAATCCATAAGCACAAATATAAATTCTGCAAGTGACTGTCTTTGTCTAAGCTTTACTGAATAATTTCCATTCAGTTCTGCATTTGTGGGCTCTTTTGTGTAATAGCAGCAAGATATTCAGTTCCTCATTTACGTTACTGTGTCATATATTCATGCAGTTTTGAGTATGATTAAAGTACTGATGAAATGAAAATAATTCTATAAAACTACGTATATCGGATTGTTACGTTTCATAGGTCTGAAATGCACAACTCTAAAATCCAGTACAAGTGTGTTCTTTTAGAGTTGCTTTTTGTCTATTAACAGATTTTTATTTTTTTTTTAAAAAGAGACTCACAGGACAGCAGCAGGAGATAAACAACTTAATACAGAGAAAAATTGCTGTGGATGAGGAAAATGCCCGTTTGAAGAATGAATTCAGTAACTTGAACCAGAAATTTAAAGATAAAAGCCAAGAACTTAAGGTATATTGACTTGTACATAGTTTCATAAGACTGTAGCTTTGAAGTAGTTCTTTAAGCAATGTCAGCCTTTGTGGCACAGAAAGTGACAAGCTTGGAGAAAAAATTGCCTTAGGCCTTGCTATACCTTACTGTTTTCTCACATACCAACTCCGAGGAAGATGCTTTAAAGCCAAGACTCCAAGCTTTATAACTTTCAGATAAATAGTTAATGATGGAAATGGAGCAAAGAAAGTAGGAGTGTGAAGATGTGGCTTCTTGTAATTAGATTCTGATGGGACTGGCATTATTAATTGATAAAGCCGAGGTCTGGGAGGATATGTCTGTGTGGGTCTCAAAAATAGCTGGGGACAGCATCAAAGGCAGCTTGATCAATTAATGGGCTCTTTGCAAATGTGTACTCATCAAAGCTGTCATCCAGCTAAAAAATATGACCCTTCCACCTGCATGAAAGAGGCCAATAAAAGTACACAGGTGACCTTGGCCATCAAATATAGAAGAAGCTGCTGTGAGGGTAAAACTGCACAGTTTATATTTGCTGATTAGTTCTCACTTTTTTTGTTTATCGGCCCTTGTGGTACTGTTCTACAGGACACTGAGGAGTGTGCACAGAAGAAAGAAGAGCAAAACAGGCTGGTTATAAAAAACCTGGAGGAGGAAAATAAGGGATTAAATACACGCTGTGCTGACCTGCTACATGACCTGGAGAAACTGAGGAAGCAGGAGGCACAATGGAAAACAGAAAAATCTGGCAATGATGCCAGAATAAAGGTACGAAATGGAACAGACTCTTGGATGTTATTTCAGAATTAACTTCTCCAGACATTTGCACTACAAGTTATTTTCTTTAAATAACAAGTTATATATTCAAATCTACCAGTGGGGACTTGCATTCATTTACATTCCTTCGCTTAAGACCCACAGCTTTTTAAAAATTGATGTTGCAAAGCAGGAATCTGACTTCAAATAGTCATCTTAAAATGTAATCATTAAAAAATAAAAGATACTGTATTTTAAGAGAAAATATATATATGTGATAATAATAAAAGCTTAAAAGTGCTATAATTCACATTTTTTTTCTCGACATGTAACTTACATACCTATAATTTGTTTGCAGTAGACTTGATGTTTGTTGTTTTGGAGGAACACTTTAAAACTTTAACTGCAGTTTCGAATAAATTGTGTCCTAGCCTCCAGAGGGCTCCACTCTGAGAGACCTTATTGCATATCATATATTAAAAAGTTATTTTCACTGTTTATGATAAAATGAAAAAGGAAATAAATGAATACATGGTACAAATATTGTATCTTTTATTTAAATGATACTTTGTCTGGTTTGCTGATGAAAATTGGCAAGTTTTTTAAATTCCTATAAGTAGTAAGCCACAAATGTGGTATCAAAGTGTTTGATGGCCGCTTACATAAACATCTAGTTAGTGGATTCTTTTTATTGACATGGCTCATGAACATTTACAATGCTGTGCTCTTTTACACTGTCAAAGTACATGACCTTCTGTTTTATTCAATGTATTAACCATCTAATCAACACGTTGCCCAGAAACATCTTTTTTCCTCCACTAGCAATTCAGTGGTTTTGGTGACACTTCTAATTGTTGTGCTGATGGAAACCCTTTGAGCTTATTTCAGATCTGTTAACATGGGAAGTAAAGATCTTATAAACTGAGGCCTTTGGACTGGTTATCATGGAACAATTGTAGGATTCCCAGGATTGGTTTGTTGATACTTGGGGGAGAAAATCCAGTGTGTACCAAACTGATTTAATAATTTTCAAGTTGTCAAATGTAGAGCTTGTAGTATTGGATAAATTACTGAAAATCGTTGTTACCCACACTTTCAATTAAAAGTCAGAATAATTTTTAGTGTATCTGTCTCCCTGGCTGATAAGGCATGCTGAAGAGAGAAAGGGTCATCACAGCCATGTGATTCCAGCAAATAAGTAGTGTTGGTGTTTCAGAGCGGGGTCGCAAGCGGGTCAAGGTGGTGTCTACAGTGTGACAGAGGTAACTTGTTGAGATGGACATTTCCCGAGCCAACGAGGAGTCACACACAGCTGGATCTGCTGTTCAGAAACAAGGAAGAACTGATTAAGGAAACAATAATCAATGGCAGCCTTGGCTATAGTGACCATGAAATTGGGAAGACCAAGATCCTGAGAAGGCAAAGGAAGGAGAGTAGCACAGTACAGACCTGGAATTAAGGAGGAGAGTCTTCAGCTTGTTCAAGGAACTGGTAGATGGAATCCCATGAGAAGCAGCACTGAAGGGTAAAAGAGCTTTGGAATATTATCCAGTCTTTAAAGACAGCTTCCTCCAAGCCCAAGTATGGTCCACCCTGATACTCAGGAAAACAAGTGGATGTATCAGGACACCAGCTTGGCTAAAAGGAATTAAGCACCAAACTCCAGTGTAGAGTGGGGGTGGAAAGCAGTATTCAGCAAGGGGAAACAGTGAAAGCTACAAAGGAGGAGTTCAGAAACGTTGAGCATTCAAGGATGGTGTTAACCTACCTACAGTTAAGACTTGCAAGTGATGACAGACATTACAAGAATTTCTTGCACTATTTTAGTAGTAAAAGGCTGAACAAGGAAAACTGGGGGCCTGTTGCTGAAAGGGAAGGATGGATTAGTGACAGCAGAGGTACTGGATGTCGTCTTTGCCTTAGTCTTCTCCAACAAGATTCCCCCAAGCATTTGTGCCTACAGACAGAGTTCAAGGAGAAGTACTAAGAATGGATGAGTTGGGAGATACCTGAGAGAACTTGGGTACTACACATCATTCGACCAGCTGAACTGCATCCAAAAGTACTGAGAGAGTTGGCTGATGTAGGCTGCTGCCTATCATCTTTCAAAAGTAGTAGAGATCAGGGGACATCCCTGATAAAAAAGATAATCCAAGAACAAAATTTGGTTGGCCTCACTTCAGTCCCTGGGAAAATCACAAAGAAAGTCATCTTGGAAGTAATTTGGGCACATAATTGAGAAAGTGACTAGAAACAATCACAGATTTGCCAAGGGTGAGTTGTTCCCAAGCAGCCTGGTTGTCCTTTGTCATAAAATGATTGTGTCTGTGGACAAGAGGAGAGTTTGGATGTGATTGACCTTAACTTTAGCAAGATTTTTGACACTGTCTTACTGTATTCTTGTATACAAGATACGGTGTTACAGCTGGATAGGTGGACAACAACATGTTTAAAGGAACTATTTGGGTGTTTGGGTTCAGAGAGCTGTCGTTAATGGGTTATACTCTGTCTGTAGGCTGGTAATAAGTAGTGTACTGCAGGATCTATCTTGGACCTGTCTTGTTGAAAATCTTTTTCAGTGATGTGGAAGAGGGGACCACAGGCTTGCTCGTCAGGTTTGCAGATGACACCAAAGTGGGAGGAAGTAAATGTGCTTGAGGGCTCTGCTGCCACCCAGGGGTTATGTTGACAGAAATGGGTCAACAGGAGCCTTAACCAGGACAAATGCTGAGTCTTGCCCTGGGAAGGCAGAGCCCTGCAACCATACAGGAGCTGCAGCTCTGGGGGACAGCCCTAGGCGCTGGCAGGCAGAAAGCTGCATCAGAACCAGCCCTGTGCACCTGGGCAGCATTGAGGGCCAGCAGCGCCTAAAGAGACATGAGCAGGGCATGGCCACAAGAGCCAGGGGAGGAATGGACCCTCTCTGCTCAGTACTCTAGATACTGCACCCATTTTTTGATGCAGTACAAGAAAGACATCAGTAAACTGGCTGAAGGTGAGACACTGGGGCTAGAGACCTTGCCTTGCAAGGAGAGGCTATGGAACAGGCTGATTCAGCGAGAAGGGATGGCTCTGGGGCTGGGGCCATCCAACAGTGTCTCTGGCACCAACAGGAGGGGATGGAGGAGATGCAGTCGGGCTGTTCACACCTTTGCATGGCTGAACGGTGAGAGGCAGCACAAACTGAAACAGGAAAAGCTGAGGCTAGAGATAAGGAGAAGCCTTTTCCCCGGGAGGACAGCCCAGGAGTGGGGCTGGGGCCCATGGAGGGTGGGCCATCTCCATCCTTAGGAGATTTAAACTCCTGACTTTGTAGAGCCCTGAGCAGCCAGTCGGACCCCCTGGCTGAAACTGCTTTAGGCAGGGGCTGTGACTGGAGACGTTCTCAGGTGACCGCCAGCGTGCATGTGTCCATAGCTCTGATGCCCCAGCTTCTGCCACCTTTTTTTTTTTTTTTCTTCCCCTTTCCATTCTGTGATATTAGACAACTATACACCTATGCTAGTGGACAGAGTTAAGTGAAGCTGATTATCTCACAAGACTATCACAAGGATTGAGAAGCACATTAAAAATACCATCTGCAAGAGGGAAATGTTATATTTGACCTCTAGGAAGTAGTAATGTGTTGCCTCTTAACTTCTTATCAATATTTTGTAAAATACTAATTTCTAAAGACACATGGTTATTTTTGTAGTTCATCACTGTTTTTACATATACTCTCCTTGTAGATATTTCCTTGAAGATTTAAGTTTCAGTTTGAATTAATTTATCCCTCTGTTCCTGATATTCTCCATTTCTAGTACTTGACACTCAAGAATCAATATGGATGCCAGATTGACTCTTAACAGGATGCTTATAAACAATAAAGAATAATAATTTCCTTATCCACACAGGCCAAATATGTCATTATCATACTACACAATACTGGGCTGAAGATGATGTTCTAATATACACACTCTACTATAACATGTCTCTGAAATGTTTTTAAAAAGTAATTTATGAGCAAATTCAATAATGGAATTGTATTGTTCTCAAGTGACTGTAAAAATAGTTATAGATAAAAATCATTGTTAGGCCCTCTATGTTAGGGCCAGTTTTGAATGTTTAGAATTTAACAGTGTCAATCACAGTGTTGAGTGTGTATGGATAAGAATTAAGGGGAAGGCCAACAAGGCAGACATCATGATGGGAGTTTGCTATAGACCCCCTAATCAGGATGTAGAATCTGATGAAATATTCTATAAACAGCTGGTAGAAGTCTCACAATCATCTGCCCTTGTTCTCGTGGGGGACTTCAACTTCCCAGATGTCTGCTGGAAATTCTACGCAGCAGAGAGGCAACAGTCCCAGAGGTTCCTGGAGTGTGTGGAAGACAACTTCCTCACACAGCTCTTGAACAAACCAACTAGGGGAAAGCACCCTACTGGACCTACTGTTTGTTAACAGAGAAGGTCTTGTGGGGAATGTAAAGGTTGGAGGTCGTCTTGGGCTCAGTGATCA